GACGATCAAGTTAGTCCACAGATGAAGAAAATGATGACCATTAGTGTAAAGCTCTATGAGTAAGTATGTAGAGAATGTAATGTGCAATGGACATTTCTCACTCCTTTATATGTTGTCCAAGACTGTATGGATGTACTGCCCAAGACTGCCCGGATGTGCTGCCAAGACTTGTTGTCCAAGGATGCCCGAATGTGCTGCCCAAACTGCCAGAACTACCCGTCCTATTGCCAGAACTACCCAATTTTGTTAGCTCATATGGTCCTCTCTATGTGTGGTTCTTATCTTAATAATATTCCTTCTTATCTATTAGTTTGTCTTATTAAGTGTGCGACTGACCCAAATTACCTCAAGGTGGAGTGCTTCCTGTGAAAAGCTCTTATGTTATGCTTATCTGGTCGATCTATCGGCTAGTCATACCTTCAGGTCGAGTTTCAACCAGGCCATATAAGGACCCTAACTCAACTTATATGTGCTCCTTAGATCTGCGATGTCCTTATCGACCTAAAGAATCTTCGCTCTACAGCTCCATTTCACTACAAGAAAAGAGTTCTAGTGAAGAATGTTTTTGTCACTAAATTTACTGTCACTATATCTACAGTTGTTGTCACTATATCTACAACTGTTGTAGATATAGTGACAACAACTGTAGATATACTGATAGTAGATATAGTGACAATAATTGTAGATTTAGTGACAAAAAAATTCTTCACTAGAACTCTATTTTTTTGTAGTGAATTCGACCTTCGTTCTGCCTGTCTGTAGCTCCGCTCGACAAACATGCCTACCAATCCTGGTTGGCTGGTTTATCAGGTCTACTCGACCGGGAAACCTTCGATTCACAAAGAGAGAAAAATGCCTATTGTCGGTTTTCGTCTCCATAAAAACCTAAAATGCCTATATTATTCTTCCGGATGAGGTTAGCAACCTCATCTTGCTTTAGGGGCCCGTTGAAGTCTCTAATATTCCAAAAGACGATAATCATTTCGAAGAGGAGGGGATGCCCCCTTCCTTCAGGTGTGTTCCCTTGTCCGGTTCTTTGCTCACATTTTGCTTGTCTATAGGCTTTGTTGCTTGTACATGCGAGCTAGTATGGCTCACGGAGCTACTCCTTTTGAATACATTAGGGAGTGTACTTAGGGCTTGATTGTTTACAAAATTATTTTACTCACTTTTATTTCAACTCAAAATTTAACTCAACCTCACTATCTTTAATATTATTCATATAATTAAATAATACAAACCAATCATTCTTACTCGTCACATCAACTTTAATTCACTATTCATCCACTAACTAATTTTAACTACCTATCATTTTCAATCATTTTCAATCATTTATCTTTTACTTTTACATCAATCAATTTTAATCATTTTATTTTAAATATTATTTTAATACTTTTATAAAATTCCACTAACAACTAATCATACACTTTTTTTCAAAATTAAATATGGTTAATCAAAATAACTCATTTTGAACAAATTATTTTATAAACAATCAAGCCCCGTAATAATTACATATTGAATGTGGATGATCTAAGACAAATGAATAGTTCCAACCTTCAAATTCGTCCAATGAATGACAGATGAACACTCTGTCTAATCGGACAGAATTTTCACTAAGTTGAGCTGGCTAGTGGTCTTGGGCCTAATGTTCTCTAAAGTTGTCTCTATCATATCATTACGCAGGATCGTTGGGCCCAAACCTTGATACTTTTGGGGTCTGATGACAAGTAGGTGTGTCAGGGCACATTTTGCACGCGCTCCTCACCCCAAACTAAAAAATTAAGAGAGTGTAGTGCACATTTTTATTTTTCTTTTTTTAATTGAAAAATGAGACATATTACATAAATTAAAATATCATTAATTATTTATATTAAAAAAATAAAATAAAAATACTAAAATTCATAATTTTTCATTATCTATAAATAAAGACCACATTTGATAGGTTTTTGAACACAACTAATTTTTCGTTTTTTCGTAATTATTTTATTATACTGACATATAATGAACATGTTACATAATAAGATGAATATATTTTCAAATAAGATGAACATGTTACAGATTGCAGATTGAAAATAATACATATTAATCTTATTTTATAACATGTTCATCTTATTCTATAACATGTTCAAATTATTATGTAACATGTTCATCTTGTTCTATAATATGTTCATTTTTATTATGTATGTAACATGTTCAACTTATTATATAACATGTTCATTTTTATTATGTATGTAACATGTTCAACTTATTATATAACATGTTCATTTTATTATGTAACATGTTCATCTTATTCTATAACATGTTCATTTTATTATGTAACATGTTTATTTTATTCTATAACATGTTCATTTTATTATGTATGTAACGTGTTCAGCTTATTCTATAACATGTTCATTTTATTCTGTAACATGTTCATTTTATTATGTAACATGTTCATCTTATTTTAGAATATGTTCATCTAAATTTCATCTGTGAAAATGTAACATTTTCATCTTATTCTATGACATGTTCATCTTACTCTATAACATGTTCATCTTACTATATAACATATACATCTAATTATAGATTTGCGTCATAATCTTTCAATAAGATAAATTAATTGTAAAAAATGATAAATTAATTGTGTTCCAAAAAATATCAAATGTGGTCTCTATTTGTAGAGAATGAAAAATTATGAATTTTTTTTTGGTATTTTTATTTTTATTTTTATTTTTTGATACAAAATATGAATGATAATTTAATTTATATAATATGATAAATGAAATTCATTACCCAATAAAAATGTGACACATGTCCCATTTAAAAAAAAACACTTATCTCCTTATCTCTCACGCGCCTTTAGAGGGGATGTAATTCACATAAGGCCCAGGACACACTTAAGTATTTGCCATGATGACGGCTTGAAAAGATACATTATGGGCCAATGAGAAAGTCTTTGATCTTGGGAACCTAGTCCCAAGTAAATAATAGTGTTTGCCACTTACTGTGCCATAATTAAATATTTTTTTTTGGTACAGGGATCTTCCAGTTTTCGGATCCACATGGGAACCGACTAATCTGAAATCGAACCGGGTAGGACCACGAGGGCGGCAAAGCTCTCCTTCAAGAGTTTTAACACTGCTGCATTCCCAGGACTCGAACACGAAACCACTAGTTAAGCTGGAAGAGACTCAAGTCATCTCATCCAAGTCCTCTTGAGTTGCCATAATTAAATATTGACACATCATTTCAAACCGTTCATCACATACACAATTAAATTGATATTGTGGAACGAATTGATATTGTGGAACGGAAAAATAAATAATAAGGGATAAATAGTAAGTAAACAAGATGGTGAACTTGTTTGGGGAGCGGACCAAAAAAAAAANNAAAAAAAAAAAAAAAAAAAATCAATAATGAACGGTTTTACTATGGAGTGATTGGATGACTCGACTTATAGAGTCATTCATTGTTATTTACAAATGATGTATTGACACGTGTCCTGCAATAAATGTACATTGAATATGTGTTAGTACATAAAGTTATGGATGACTCCATAAAATTTCTGCCTAATCAAGATGCCATAAATTTACAGTTTAATCATAAACAATTGAAGTAACGATTTTAACTTTTCTTTGCAAATCTACAGAATGCCATGTCCGGCAAATCATATCAACATTACTTCGAGCTACTTTAACAACATGTAGTTTATAAACCTTCTTTTTACATTTCTAATATTCCACATAATTCAAACCTAATTTTTACTGCTAATATCAAAAACCTCCAATAATCATAAATCTCACAAACCTCCTTTTAGTGGATATTCATCATTATGAATAAGAAAGGTTTGCCTAAGCACTATACCACTCATCATTTTCCGTTTTACCTTAAAACTTGTATATCCCTAAGCACACTATACCA